GAGAGAGAGAGAGAGAGAGAGAAGGGTTTTGCTTTTTGTTGTGTGCTCACTAATCCGAACGGACTACAATGTACCGTATATTTGTTTTTGGTCTCCTCTTTAGTCACCGCAGGCTCAACCAACACCCTTGCTCGTGTGTACGGTGGCAAATCGCAGGAACGTTGGCTACATGTCGGAGCTGGAGGAGGCAAGGCTGCCGCACAAGCTTGAAGAAGTCGCTTCGTGCCCAGCGGAAGACATCGTAAGGGCCTTGAGGAGAGACCACAGGCAAGACACACATAGAGGGGGGGGGGGGGGGGGGGGNGGGGGGGGGGGGGGGGGGGGGAGAGAGAGAGATAGCTATGTGCATCACGCTCATCGGACCTTCTACTCCGAGAGTAGTTCATCTGAAAGAAAAGTCGATTTTAGTTGGTTTTCACTATCAGGTTTGGTGGTGGTGTATTTCCGCGCGAACAAGTCGAAACGATTTTTCTCGTGCAACACTCGGGGAGAAAGGCGGAGAAACAACACACGCAACGAGGGGAGTGCCTACCTGCTTCCTGTGTAACCCCAGCTGATGCATCAAACGTTGCCGAAAGGCGTGAACTGGCGACTAGAATAGATGGGGGGAAGAAGACAGAAAATGTATTACTCGATTGTTCGGCTGCGGTGTCCTGCCCTTGTCTATGTCTCCCTCTCCTCCCGCTGTCCGTGGCGTCCCTCCCCCACCCCCTTTACAACCCGCCCTCTCGGCTCATCGATCCCCCTACCGTGTGTACGTTAATTCGGCCTTCTTCGGCGAACGAAACCATCCAAAAGCAGGGGAGAGCGCAGCCTGATCCCTCTCATGTGCGACATGCTCCTAGACGCACGGTCCGGGGACGTGGGGCTGTGGTCCCCTATCCTGGCCGACGCCTGCAGGCACGACGAACTCCGTCGAGTCCTCATCATGAGGGTGTTCCCGCGCGTCGTCCGATCTTCGGTGGCGGAGGCGTTCGCCAGGAGCGGGGCGACTTTGGCTGCTTCGTGGGAGGAGGTATGTACCATAGGTGACACAAATACCACCCCCCCCGTAGCGACCGCTAGAACTGCCATGTAAATCACGCCCCCCAACAAAAAATCATCTCAAGACAGAGATCAACATTTGTTTTCGTTTCGCCTACATGTATGCATACAGCAAACGTCTCACCTGCGACCTTTCACTCCGTCGCCCCCCCCCCCCCCCCCCCCCCCCCCCCCCCCCCCCCCCCCCCCCCCCCNAGGCCCTCCGGTCCCCGCTGGAAGAGCTCGTGGCTCGCCAAGAGCGCCGCCGAAGGAAAGAGGCCGCCGCCGCTGCCCGCGGGCCCCCCGGGGGTGCCACCGCCGCTGCCGCGTTCCCGGGGGCGTCGTCGACATCGTTCGGGGCGTCTCTGTTCGCCATGACCAGTGGTCGAAACGGCGGCGGCGGCGGTGGCGCGATGAGTCGTGGGGGTAGTGGGGCCACGGGGGGGCAGGCGACGGCGGCGGCGGCGGCGGCGGCTGGTGGCGGGGGTGGGAGTGGGGAGCGTCCCCACGAGGACGTGAACGCGGTCGTGGAACAGGTAGATAGACAGTCTCTCTCTGTTTTTTTGTTTTGTTTTGGTGTCGTGACGAGCAAGGGTAAGGGTGAGAATTGGAGGAACTTGCTTGACCTCGGCAATGAAAAGTTTACACTGTTCGATTTTTTTTTCTTCTGTTGTGTGGAGAGAGCAGTTATTGGACCACGATTAGTAATGACGATCACCGACACCGTGGAGGACGACAGCAGCAGTAGCAGCAGCAGTAGATAGTATCATTTGCAACCGATTCAGCAGTACGATACAATTCAGTAGCAGCAGCAAGCAGCGGCAACAACTAACCGACTTCGCGCTACAACCCTTCCGTTGGAAACTCTTTGCAGGTGGTTATGCTGCTCGGAGCGTGTCCCTTCCCGGAGCGGATGAACCTCAAGTGGTTCTACTCCACCTTGGCAGACCTCGGTCCCCGCTTCCACGCCCAGGCCGTGCAGGTAGCGCTGGGCGTATCGGGACCCGCGGCTCGCACCGCGGCCGTCTTGGAGTTGCTAGGGCAGCCCGGCAACGGTGGTGGCGGCGCGGGCGGCGGCGGGGGCGGGGTGGCCTTGAACGTGGTTCTCGACGAACTACGGCCGGTGGCGGCGGGCGGCGGGAGCGGTGTGTGGGGCGGCACGGCGAACCAGGTGGGTGGGGATGTGCTGCCGTGGTGCTTGCTGCTGGACGATATTGAGGGAGCGAGAAGGGCTGAAGAGACTGAAGATGAGAACCGGACAGGGGCGGCGGAAGCAGTGCACATGCTTTGCTGACAACCACGACCGCCATTTTTTTCTTCTGTCTTGCATCCACTCCCGTTTCAAATTCTCAAGATCCCACTCTAACGGCGGGATCATTGGGGTCTCTCATCGGTTAACACTCCCGGCGTTTTTGAGAGAATCGTCTCGTCTTCTTACCTATCTTTTTTTGTGTTCTGCAGGCCATTTTGGAAGCCGTTTTCGTGTGGATCGACGAGCGCCGGGGTTGGGCCGAGCTTCGCGGGACAAGGTGGGCTTTGCCTCTCCTCTGCCGCTCGTGGGATTAACCCATTCAAGATTGGATTTTTTGTGTCGAGAGGATACACACAACCCAGCGGTCAGCGCGTAGATTGAGTACGCGGAGCCGTGCAACTGTTAGATTCATGCCGGTCGGTCGACGCGGATGTGTGCAAGCGGTGCATTGCGCTGGGTTCCATTCCTGTTCCCTACCGCAATATTGCCAGGGGTCGCATCCTCCCTGGTCTGACTTTTTACGGCTCGATTTATCCACAACGAAGAGAGTGCGAAAGGAAAAGGTAACCACTCGGTCTCGACGAGGCCTTTATGGAGCCCACCCTGTTCAGCAGTGGCACCCTCTTGGTTGTGGAGCAACACAGTCACGGAAGTCAGTCTAGGCGTGTGTGTGACCACCCGCACAAATACTGTGAACTCGTACTAGTTGTCGTTGGCGTCGTTGGCCGAAGAATTCTAATCCTCCTCAAATCGCCATCGTCCCCCCCCACCCCCCCGGCGTTTGCCATCGGGGTTGGGTTTTCGTCGCTTGGCAACGACGTCGTATCACAAGCCAATTCACTTCGTGAGCTCGGCAACCAGGTCACCGTTGTTGTTTTGTTCCTCTGTTCTGCTTT